TCAATTTACTCTCAAGTATCAATAATTCAATGAACTTTGGAATACTACTTAGAATGAAGCTAGCAAAAGTCTCAATGGGCCATGGTTTATCTTTTCATACCTCTCTCATAGTCGAGAGCACATAAATTAATGCAGGCTCGCTGCAAAAAATGTGGTGGACGTTTCAAGTCCGATCGATAGAATATTCTGAATGATAGTACAAAGTCGTATGTTAGAAGTACACCTGGGAGCACACGGTCGCGTTCGACATAATCGTTGACAACCGTGAGAAGCAACATATGCGATTTTACCAAATCATTATCGATATGGCTCTAATCAAGCGCAAACAAGGGGGACTCTCGCGCCGCGTTCAAATTACTAGCAAATGTGTGTTACAGACAGGTGAGGGTGTCGAGGTGACATCTCGCGATCACTCCGGTCCGCCAATTTATCGAAAGAAAGACTAATGGTTGCCGGAGGGTGACGCTTGGTGAAGTCTGTGGTGGGATGAAGAGAAGAAGGGAGAGAGAGAGAGACAGAGGGAGAGAGAAAGGACAACTTCATAGTGATGAGGAGGTTTGTGGTGCTGTATTTATTGTCCGGAGGTTCCGCGGTAACTGGAGAATGTCCCTCCTCCCGTTGAGGGTAGAGGATTCGCCCTCGAGCGATGTGCAGCGGTGTAGCACCAATACCTGCGTTCGTCGGTAGGAATAGATGGTAGGTGATGATTACGGGTTCGAGAGAGGAGCGTATAACGACGCGCCGGCATCGACACGCGTGTAGTTATAAAATATATACCGGGCGACCTGTTATTTGTGTGACGAGCGTGCGGGAAAGAGAAGAAGAAAAGAATGCCGGAGCTAGTTGAGAACGTCCGGCGCCGCAGCCACATCTCTCTGACATTCCGTAGCGTTATTTGAATAAATGCGTGCGTGTGTACACTGCATTGTATAATGGCTTGCGCATATGGAAAGTGATCTGTGTCGTTATACGCGATTGTATGCTGCACACGCGATAGTACGACAGAAAAATGGCAATCGGAAAAAGTAAAATTGTAATACTTCAAAGCATATGAAATTTAAATTTTCAACTCCACATGACATACCGAAATTATAAACGATTTGTGTATTGCAGTACTAATGATTAAATATTAAAAATAATGTTCAAAAAATTGTGTTCCTATACATACATCATTTTATATATTATCATGTATACATTTTTAAAACGTCATAATATCCTCATGAAATTCTAATTGTACAATCAGAAACAATTTCTAAATTTTTATAAGAGAAATTTTTGCAGATTTTGTTCAGATTTTTGTTACGTAGTTCAAGATTTTAAAGTTAATTAAATCTTAGAGATTACAAATGGCGGTAGCATCGATAATTTTTTTATTTTCAAGTCGGATAATATTTAATTGCTAAAAGAAACGTGGATCAATAAATATTTATAAAATAACACAATTGCATATTCATTTTTTTCCATAGTTTTTGATAGCATGGAAACGTATCGTCTATCGAATACTCGATCAAACTGTCCCTGATTCGAGTCTGTGGGATCCGAAAGCTGCCGGCCATTATCCTCCGTAACGAGTTTAACGCAAAGCCGACGAAATTTACGCTCTATCGATTTTAGTTCAAGAACTATGACAAGTTATAACTGAAACATTCGGTGGCTGGTATCCGACGCCACTTGACGCAAGTTTCACGATCGCCATAGCCATCCATTTTATGCCTACGACATCAATTAGCTGCGATGGAATTGATTTGAGTTTCTAGTTGTAACAATCCTTAACTTAGATCTCTACACTTCTTCATCGCTATAATGATGACAGATTTTATTCCCAAATCTATTTCTCCTTTTTAGTTTTATTAATTTAGATAAAAAAAACTTTTTTACGTAGTCTACGTAATAGAAAAGTTTTTCTTTTCCTTTCTTCTACCTTTATTCTCATTTTTTTCCTCCTTTTCTTTCGTTTCTATTAAGATCCCATTAAGATCCCATTAAGATCGCACTAAAGAAATATTAACAGAATATCAATTTAGGTTTAAAGAATTACAAAGTTGCAACTATATTTGTATCAATTTATATGTAATTTAAATTATTTTTGTCAACTTATCTGTATAATGAATGCGTAATTATCTACAATTTTATTTCCTTGCTTGTTTTATTAAAATAAAATGTTTTATTATTGCTAGATATAATGTTA